TCCCTACTCGAGGGGGGAAAAAGTGGAAAGCAGGTTATTTATCTATGGAGCATGGGTTTGTGTGTTTCTGTGTGTGTCTGTTTTAAGAAAGGCAAGATGGCAGACATTGCAGTACGACCGAATCCCTTCCCATTTATGTGTATGTGTACATCTTGACTACTGCTGGAAGAAAAATCCAGCTCCTGTTCCAAGCCAGGAATAAAATGGAGGTTGATTGGAAAGAAAGAGTCTGTTTATCGGTGAACAGAACCAAACAACACACACACAGCGTGCGGTTCTGGGACAGCTGACAAAATGGAGTTGAGAGTGAGTGGGTTTTATATCTTCTGGATCCCTAAGGGGTCACGTAGGGGTCATGGCTGGCTCTATAGGCAAAAGAGGAAATGCAAATCCTAGGTGTTTGTCTGAGCTAATCTTGTCAACCTTTGGCTTGTTGCTTATCTGAGGTTTCTGTCTGACCCAGTCTTTCTGAACTGATTACCAAATCTGTATTTCTAAAAGCTGGCCTCCTCAGTTTCTGCTTGGGGCAGGGAGACTGGGGCTGGTTTCTGCCTCCCTTAAGTTTTTTCCCCCCCATTTCTCCTTTAGGGGAAATATTCTGTCCTGCCTTTTTAATATTCCCCAAATATTTCCTTCTCTAGGAGGATGGGTGGGTGGGTGCTGACTTTCTACACTACCTCCTCTTGACTTCCTGGGTGCCACTACTGGAAAGCTACAGTAGTGGCCAAAATTGTGGAAACCTTTTGGGAAAAGTGTATTTTCTAAAACTAGCTAATAACTCCACTTTTTTTTTGGAGTAGTACCATAAAATTATATATCAATGGAAAGATAATTTAATCAAGAATGAAATGCAATAACTTTTATGACAGATTTGCTATTAGAATAGCAGTTACAGTATAAAGGAGAAAAGTGAAACACATAGAAAAAACGAGATGTACAAAAATGATCACCATGTTAGTTAATACTTAGTTGGGTAACCTTTAGCATGAATGATGGCCTTACAACGTCTTCCCATGGAGTGAACCAAGTCTTTTAGTTCTGCAGCTGTTCTAATGTGAAACCAAGATTGAATGAGGCTTCTATTAACTGGGTTTTATTGCTGGGTTGCTTCTGACTAACAAGTTTCTTCAGTCGGCTCCCTAGATTTTTAATTGGGTGAAGGTCTGGGCTATTCCCAGGTCATTCCAGCAGTGGAATAGGATTATCTTGAAACTCCCACCCAAAAAAGTTGTGTTATTAGCCATCAAACCTCAAAAACACACTTTTCCCAAAAAGTTTCCACAATTTTGGCCACTACTGTATATACAACAAACCAGGAAATAATAATACTTTAGTTATTTGGAAGATTTCCATCAAAGTGCACCAGCTAATCAAGTAAATCACATCAATCTTTATTATGGTGTTGGACAAACAGGCAGCTAGCGTTTTTTTGCTTGACTAAGCTTTATATTCCTTTATGCTCTACTTTCAATTCCCTCCACCTTCTTAATATGCACTCTTTTCTTCTTGAGTTCCTAGCCAAACAGAAACACCACCACCCCCTCAGTTTTATCTCTGCAGGAGTCACAAAAGTCAAGATGGCGACCACGAGCACCTGATTGGCCAATAAAATGACAGGGGTTTGATTACACAAATATGGCCACCATCTTGGATTTTCTGAAACCGCCCCTCACCAGTGGTGAAATCCAATTTTTTTTATTACTGGTTATGTGGGCATGGCTGGAGAAGGATACTGCAAAATCTCCATTCCCACCCCACTCCAGGAGGAAGGATACTGCAAAATCCCCCCTCCCCACTCCTGGGGAAAGGATATTACAAAATCTCCATTCCCACCTCACTCTGGGGCCAGCCAGAGGTGATATTTACCAGTTCTCCGAACTACTCAAAATTTCCACTACTGGTTCTCCAGAATCTGTCAGAACCAGCTGGATTTCACCCCTGCCCCTTAAATCACAGCAGTGGTTGAGTTAGTAACACGGTTGTTAAGTGAATCTGGCCTTCCCCGTCGACTTTGCTTGTCAGAAGGTCACCAAAGGGGTCATGTGACCCCGGGACACTGTGACCATCATAAATATGAGCCAGTTTCCAAGCATCCGAATTTTGATCACATGACCATGGGGGGAAAAAAGTCACTTTTCCCAGCGGTGTTGAATTTGGAACCGTCATTAAACGAACGGTTGTTAAGTCGAAGGATCCCTGTATTTAAAGCAAGCTTCATTTCAATGTTTCTTTCTTTCTTTATTCATTAAATTTCTATACCGCCCTTCTCCCGAAGGACTCAGGGCGGTGAACAGCCAGAAGATAAAACACAGAGATACAAAAATTTAAAATAGATTAAAAATGAATTAAATAATTTGGCTGAATTTAAAATACCCCATAATTCAAACAGATTAAAATTTGTATTTAAAATTTATATTTAAAAGGGGAAAAGATTTAGGCCAGGCCAGCTTGATGAAATAAAAACGTTTTAAGCGCGCGACGGAAGGTGCGCAGATCCGGGATCCTCCGTATCTCCGGGGGGAGCTCGTTCCAGATCGTAGGTGCCCCCACAGAGAAGGCTCTCCCCCTAGGGGCCGCCAGTCAACATTGTTTGGCCGACGGCACCCGGAGAAGCCCCTCTCTATGGGAGTGTACTGGCCGGTGGGAGGCTATTGGTTGAAGCTGACCATGGTGTTTCCCGTTAAGCAGTACATCATTTTGGGATTTGGACACGGGTAGGCTGCTGGGGGTTCGCAGGGGTTCGGGAGAACCTCTAGCTAAGATGCTGTGCAGTTCAGAGAACCCCCAAATCCCACTCTTGGCTGGCCCTGCCTACCCCTCCCCTCCCCTCTCCTCTCTGGAGTCCCCACGTGGCTCATTTTAGATGCAGGTAACTTCAGGGTGTGTGCAGAGACTCCTGGAGGGCGAAAAACTGGCCTACCGGAAGTTTGGGAAAGCTGCTGGCTGTTTCTGGCCTCCAGAGCCTGGGGAGGCTGTTTTTGCCCTCCTGGAGGCTCGAGAAAAGCCTCTGGAGCCTGGGGAGGGCAAAAACACCCCCCGGCCATGGTGCAGGAGGCCGACTAGGCCACGTCCACCCACCAACGGGGCAGAGAACCCCTCGCTAAAATTTTTGAAGCCCACCCCTGGGTTCTGGGGGGGGGGTCTTTGAGAGGCTTAGCCAATACTCCTCCTTCCATTCTTTGACTCTCCTTGGCCTCAGAGCACGGCAGTTACTACGTGCTGGAGCTGTACTACATAAACGACACAAACGGTAGGCCTGTCTGTGGGATTCCCACATCAATCTTTCCTGGGCCTAAATAGAGCAGCCAGAGGCAGGGGAGAAAAGCAGCTTGCTTGCTCTGGGTACCCACAAACTAGGGTCGAAGCCACCAGGATGGGAATATTTCTGTCATTTATAGAGCCCGGAACAGTGATTCATTATCTTCACGGGTGTTCAGGCAAGCTGGCAGGAGGTGGGCTGGGGGCAGGGAAGGGAGCTCGAAAAACATTGACGTGGTCTTTCTCCAGATCAATGTGCCTGTATTCAACCATGGGCCAGAGAGAGTCCTTTCACGACTCCTGGCTCTCTCTCCAAGGAGGGTGCCCAGAGACAAGCAGGAGGAGGAGGAGGAGGAGATGGTCAGTTAGAAGGGAGTCAAGCGAATCTTCTCCTCCATGTAGGAAAAAACCTGGGAGCTTCCGTTCCACCTTCTTAACTCTTGGCTAAACTAGGTCTGCAGGATCCAATCTGGGTCGGTCCCTGGGACAGAGATTTAGTCTTACGAGCTTTCTGCGCCAACTCAGGAAGCTCAAACTGCCCAAGGAGCTGCAGATCCAGTTCTACAGAGGAATGATGGAGTCTGTCATCTGCACCTCTATAACTGTCTGGTTTGGTTCTGCAACCCAACAAGACAGACACAGACTTCAGAGGACAATTAGAACTGCAGAAAAAACAATGGTTCCCAACCTGCCTTCCATTGAGGACCTGTATACTGCACGAGTCAAAAAGAGGGCTGTGAAAATATTTACAGACCCCTCGCATCCTGGACATAAACTGTTTCAATTCCTACCCACAAACGAGGCTTGTTGTTCTGCACACCAGAACAACTAGACACAAGGGCAGTTTTTTCCCGAACGCCATCACTCCACTAAACAAATAGTCCTTCATTGTTTTTCTATGTTGGAATAGAATAGAATAGAATGGAATGGAATGGAATGGAATGGAATAGAATAGAATAGAATGGAATGGAATGGAATGGAATGGAATGGAATGGAATGGAATGGAATAGAATAGAATAGAATAGAATAGAATAGAATAGAATAGAATAGAATAGAATAGAATAACAGAGTTGGAGGGGACCTTGGAGGTCTTCTAGTCCAACCTCATGCCTAGGCAGGAAACCCTACACCATTTCAGATAAATGGTTATCCATCATCTTCTTAGAAACTTCCATTGTTGGAGCATTCACAACTTCTGGAGGCAAGTTGTTCCACTGATTAATTGTTCTAATTGTCAGGCAGTTTCTACTTAGTTCTAAATTGCTTCTCTCCTTGATTAGTTTCCACCCATTGCTTCTTCTCCTGCCTTCAGGTGCTTTGGTGAATAGCTTGACTCCCTCTTCTTTGGGGCAGCCCCTGAGATATTGGAACACTGCTATCATGTCTCCCCTAGTCCTTCTTTTCATTAAACTAGACATACCCAGTTCCTGCAACTGTTCTTCATATGTTTTACCTTATGGTCCCCTAATCATCTTTGTTGCTCTTCTCTGCACTCTTTCTAGAGTCTCAACATCCTTTTTACATCGTGGCGACCAAAACTGAATGCCGTATTCCAAGGCATGATAAAGTGGCATTAACACTTCACGTGATCTTGATTCTATCCCTCTGTTGATGCAGCTTAGAGAGGACTGTGAAGAAATGTGGAGTGACAGTATATATAAATCCAGTGGTGGGCTGCAACTGGTTTAAGAACCAGTTCTGTGAGTGTGCACTTTGCGTGCTTCACACACACACACACACGCCTAATGCGCTTACAAGCAGCATTCAAAATACAGCAATTTGAAGCTCAGCTGCTTACCTTCTAAGGCAGCCCCAGTAAGTAGAACAGTGGAGGCGCGGAAATCAGCTGCGCAGCGTGAATCAGCTGAGCCAGAAAGAAGGAAATATAGGACAGGATAGGATGGGGGCAACTGGGCGGGGCCAGCTGATCGTCAGAACTACTGGTCCGAACCGGCAGCAGTCCACCACTGTATAAATCTAAGTGCTATTCAGTGGTGGGTTTGTACCGGTTCGCGAACCGGTAGTGAAGGCGTTGGGAGGCTCTGCCCATCATCACGGACACTCTGCACATGCGCAGAAGGTTCTGTGCATGCACAGAAGCACTGCGCACGAGGGAAGCAAGCGTGCACCCGAGCACGCTCCCAGTTCCGAACCGGTAGTGAAGGTAAGGTAAGAACCTACAACTGGTGCTATTGCTATTACTGTGGAAGAAAAGGCACTTTAATCTACCGGGTGCGGTCCAAAAAAGTCAAGATGGCGTCTACGGATAGAGTGATTTAAGCTCCAGCCCATCTTACATGCCTCCTTCCACGCCTCCATCTCACACCTGCGGATCTGTTTCAAATGTCAGAATTCAAAATATTCCGTCCGAAGTTGCCAATCTAGCAGAACAAGTCCCATGAAAAGCTTGGAACCGGAATGAGGAGGGAAATTTCCTTCCCTGAGCGGCTTATTTTCCCATGCCAGTTTTCGCAACATTACAGGTGTTTGCCCCTAGTGTCCTGGCCAGGCTCCAAGCGTCAAAACAATATAATTAACCTCTGCTTTCCTAAATTGCAATTCTGGCCCCCTCCCTCTAGTTTCACCGAGTTGCTTAATTTCCGGTTGTGTTTGTCTCTCGGCGAACAGCCTTCGTCCGATTCCATGAGGTGGCTAGAAGTCTTGGCTTTCGTGGAAGTTGAGCTGGACTCAAAGAGCCGTTTTATTTATTTTACATTGTTTTTAAAAAGAATCATGCATTGTTCGTAATAATGGAGGCATTTCCTCTCATTTAAGCACAGGCCCAGGTTTAATTTGAGGTCTTCGGTTTTTTACTTTTTCGTTGCTTGCTGCTACTACTTTTAATTGTTCGAAGTGCTTTTGTCTTTTACAACTTTTGTGAGGTAAATTTTTCTTCATGGGATAAGAAAGGCTTAATTGAACACAAGGCTGGAGCATCTTATGCCCAATTTCTTCTTGAAGGGGACGGAAGATCTTTGCAGGCCTGAAGCAGGAATCAATCCTAAAGTTGGAAATAACCTTGGAGGTCATCTAGTCCAACCCCCTGGTTAGCGCAGGAATTATCAGATCATCCTGGACAAATGGCTGTCTAACCTTTGCTTGAAAACCTTCAGTGTGGAGCCTCCATGATGCCAGGAGAGAAACTGTTCCCTTCTTCACAATTCCCACTGTCAGGAATTCCTCCTTACTTTGAATTTGGTTTTCTCTTTACTAAACCTCTTGTTAGTGATGGATTGCCACCGGTTTGCACCGGTTCGGGCGAACCAGTAGTAGCGGCGGCAGGAGGCTCTGCCCACCCGCCCGGACATCATCAAATAGGCTCTGCGCGAGCGAACCAGTAGCAAAGGTAAGTGAAACCCACCACTGCCTCTTGTCCTATCCCTAGAACTACACCTTCTTTTCTGTGAGACCCTGTAGAAAGTTAGCACCCACTCCTCTCCTAGAAGAATGAAATATTCTAGGAAATATTAAAAAGACAGAATATTATACCTCCATGGATGAAAAAAAGAGAAACATGCTCTTGGAAAGCAGCCCTCACCTTTGTTAACAGCCCCAGAAAGGCTGGGCCAGCTTATCTACAACACAAAAGACCTTCACCCTCAGGACATAATAGGATTAGCCCTCTACCCATCTCACCACATGGCACCTGGGAAGATTACATCACCCAGCAAGATTCAACCAAGCCTGGGATTCAAGGCAACCTACTAAGTTACCCCTGCATGGCCTCATGGGAGTCTGACCACCAATCAGGATACCTGCCCTTACACAGGAAGTTCCAAGGCGGGGCCCAAGAGAGGGTATAAATCTCTCTCTCTCTCTCTCTCACCCATGTGCTCATTTTGCCCAGGACCCAAAACACCCATGGTCCCATTAAACCATCTTTCCAAGCAGTCTCCATGTTTCCAGTGTCTTTCTCTCCACTTGGAACTGAACCCAGATGGACATTTCTTCCAACAACCCCTTCAAAGATTGGGAGCCATGGTGCCACAGTGGTTAGAATGCCAGGAGTTCGATTCTGACCATGCTCACGGTTGACTTTCCATTGGTAAAATGAGGACCCAGATTGTTAGGGGCAATATACTGGGTCTGTAAACCACTCAGAGAGTGCTGTAAAGCAAGGATCCCCAAATTCTGGGCTGCGGCCCACTACTGGGTTGTGGTCTATTCACAACCGGGCCTCATGAGCAGCGAGCTGGCACACACGTGCAACTTGCACAAGTGTGTGCCCACCAGCACGCCACTCACATGAGTTGATCTGCATGCATGCATGTGCATACTGGCCCACCGCTAACATGGCCCGGTTCCCTTCTCCTAGCACATGTTCTGCCCTTTCCACCCATGTAAGCAATGAAAGAGGAAGAGGCAACACACATCCTTTGTCCAGGCTCTGTTATTTCCTGAGCAAGTGGTTGGATTTGGCCCAGAGATGGAGAAGGAAAGACAACTGAAAGGGAGCAATGCTGGTTGTGTGGTTGTGAAGCTATCATCAATAATTTTCAACCCCAACTCACATCTCACATCGGCTCACGACAGTGATTAACACAGTTGTTTGTCCTACTCTTATCAACGAAGAGTAATTCCCAGGTAACCTTAGCGTGAGCTGTGTTATACTGAATGCAGTGGTGGGATCCTCCCGGTTTAACAACCGGTTCGTTGATCGTGTGCGCATTTTGAAGAAATCTTCACTTCCGCATTCCTCTGGAGGAGAGACACAGCTGAGGCGCGGCAGAGCACGAATCGCTCTGTCGCGCGAATCAGCTGAGAAGATAAAGGTAGGAAAATAGCGCGGGCGGGCAGGTAGGCCCAGCTGATTGTCGGGATGAACCGGTTCGCTCCCAGCTGATCGTCGGAGCTACTGAACCGGTCCGAACCGGTAGAATCCCATTCCTGACTGAATGGAAATTTGAGCATTCTTTAATTTTCTTTAATTTCTTTTTCAGAAGCGTTTAAACTACGAAGAAAGAATGGCTGGCAGGTTACTTGGACTGGAGAACGCTGCATCTGTGTTTGTATCACAGAATGAACAAAATGCAGAGGACACACAATTAAGCCTTTCTCCATTTTTAAGCGCTGTTGTTCTGTCACACTAAACACGGCCTTTGGCGAAAGGGCAAAATCATACCAAACCAAACCCCACGCGTTCTATAATTAGTACGGACCTTCAGATTAGAAATCAAATGTAACGGGATTGTAATTCCGTGACCTTGAGACTAGGAACCTCTTAAAATACTCATTAAAAAAAACCCACAGGGAGCTGTTTGTTGAGAAGTCTTGTTTTGTTTCTCATCCACACCTTTTAAATGCCAGAACATGCTAAAATCAAGGCCTTCGGGATTTCAGAAACAAACTCACATATCTGGCAGAGAATCCTAACCTCCCCAAAGAATAGGATCTTACTAGAATTTGTATGATTTATAGTAACAACTTCGGCGTCATTAATTGAAAACCAGTAAGCTGCAGCCCTTGAAGGAAGGTTAGAAGGTTTGAAGTGTTTTTTTGGGGGGAACAAAGCTTCTATTGTGAGTTATACACTTACCAGGCGACCATCAAATTCTTCGCTGAAACCGGAGCTCGCCTGGCAGCGTCAAAAAGGGGTAGCCAAAGAGGGAAGAATCGCTGGCTTTGGAACAGCTGCCCTAGACTGGTACAGAAAGGGCCCTGGCAGGGCAACCTCCCTGGGCAGACAAAACACACGCTGCACAATGCTGCAAAAAAGGAGAATATCTGGCCTGCGTAGAGCACATGGCATGATAGGGATTCAAAGGCTGTTCTAGACGGCAGCTGTGCTATGACCAGGAGATGTTTGGACTTTTTCCGCTGCAGACATGCCGGAGAAACTCGCAAGGGGAGTTGGTAGCTGCTAAAGCCGCTGAGAGTTTTGTGGCACTGCAAGCATGAACACAATTATTTTATTTATTTATTTATTTATTTATTTATTTATTTATTTATTTATTTATTTATTTATTTATTTATTTTTCAAGCATATATAAGATAACAGGTAAAAGTATAAACATAATTTGAATACATGAAAAGAGCAAGAGTAAAAAGGAATATTAGGACAGGGACGGTAGGCACCGCTGGTGCGCTTATGCACGCCCCTTACAGACCTTTTAGGAATGGGGTGAGGTCCACAGTAGACAGTTTAAGGTTAAAGTTTTGGGGGTTTGGGGAAGAAACCACAGAGTCAGGTAGTGCATTCCAGGCATCGGCCACTCTGTTGCTGAAGTCGTATTTTCTGCAATTGAGTTTGGAGCGGTTTACTTTGAGTTTGTGTCTATTATTTGCTCGTGTATTGTTGCGGTTGAAGCTGAAGTAGTCACTGACAGGTAGGACATTGTGGCAGATGATTTTATGTACTACACTTAGGTCAGACAGAAGTTGGCATAGTTCTAAATTGTCTAAGCCCAAAATTTGAAGTCTGGTGGCATAAGGTATTTTATTGCGGGTAGAGGAATGGAGGACTCTTCTCGTAAAATACCTCTGGACTCTTTCAATTGTATTAATGTCCGATATGCAGTGCGGGTTCCAGACAGATGAGCTGGATTCGAGAATTGGTCTAGCAAAGGTTTTGTATGCCCTAGTTTGCAGTACAATATTACCAGAGAAGAAGCTATGCAAGATTAGGTTAACAACTCTTAATGCCTTTTTGGCAATGTTGTCACAATGGGCTTTGGCACTTAGATCATTTGATATGACTACTCCAAGGTCCTTGACTGAATGAGGGTCATCTACAAGGTCATGTCCATCTCATTTGTATTTTATGTTTCAATTTTTTGAATTTTTTTGGTACTTTTGCATTTTTTTGTATTGTGGTGCAAGCTTTGGGGAGCTTGAACTGGGCTGTGTGGAGCAGGGAACTTTGGAGGGAACGTCCCTTTGAAGATCTCTTCAGCTTTCACCCAACATATCATATGGAAGCGAAGTTACAGGTAGTTCTCGACTTACAACAGTTCGTTTAGTGACCATTCCAAGCTGTGGTGGGTTCCTCCCGGCTCGGCCGAGCCGGTAGCGGTGACGATATGACGTCACCGAACCAGTTCTGCTCCCCGCCCCCCCGCATTATTCTTACCTTTTATTTGGCCCCACCCCCAATCTATTGCTGCCTCCTGAGTCCCAGCTGATCGTCTAGAAGGAAAAAAACTGTTTAAACTCTTGCCGTGGGGCTTCAAAGGGCCGCCCTACAGCTGATCAGTGGTAAAAGGCAGTTTGGTGGTAGACTGGTGCCTCCAAAAACAAATGAGTATGTCAAGTTACTCAGGGGCTGCCACAAAGAAGAGGGAGTCAAGCTATTCTCCAAAGCACCTGAGGGTAGGACAAGAAGCAATGGGTGGAAACTAATCAAGGAGAGAAGCAATTTAGAACTAAGGAGAAACTGCCTGACAATTAGAACGATTAACCGGTGGAACAATTTGCCTCCAGAAGTTGTGAATGCTCCAACACTGGAAGTTTCTAAGAAGATGATGGATAACCATTTGTCTGAAGTGGTGTAGGGTTTCCTGCCTAAGCAGGGGGTTGGACTAGAAGACCTCCAAGGTCCCTTCCAACTCTGTTATTCTCTATTCTATTCTCCAAAAGATCAGATCCGGACATTTGCAACTCACTATGCTGAGTCATCACACGTGCCTATGTAGGCCACCTCTCTGCCCAAAGTCGCTTCATACCACAAAGGAGCTTAGCAAGGAAGGTATAAAGGAAGAGGGAAAGACGCTTGATTACAGCTCTTGGAGAGCTGTCACATACAATTTACAAAGGCCTCTGTGCCTTGTCATTTCAAGGTACCAAAGCGGCTTGCAGAAGACGAGCTGCGGCTGGTACCAGTTATAATACGCTTACTGGGACAATGATAGCATTCAAGAGCTTTCAGGCCTCTGAAAAAATGTAGAAAGTGCAACTGTTAAGCTGGCTAAAGAGTGGGGTGGGTGGAAAGCTGTAGAGAAGAAGTGAAATAACCTGGCTTGGAAGCTTATTAATAGCAGCTTATCCCCGAGAGAATTATGGCAATATGGCAATTTCAGGATTGAGAAGATTTCACTGCTTGTAAAGGTAGTAATTGTTGGACTACAATAGCTGCTTATAATGATGCAACGTTGGGTACCTCAAGCTGTGTTCAAGTGTGTATCTGATACACATTATGTTCGATCAAATGTTCTCTCTGTTTTCTTTCTTTCTTTCTCTCTTTCTATCTATCATCTACCCATCTGTCTCTGTCTCTGTCTCCCTCTCTCTCTCTGTGTGTCTCTGTGTTTGTCTCTGTCTGTCTCTGTTTCTCTCTGTCTCTCTCTCTGTCTCTCTGTCTCTCTATATAATCATCTATCTATATAATCATCTATCTATATTTATCATCTCTCTCTTTATCATATCTCTCTCTCTCTCTCTATCATCTATGTACTTACGTATATATGTACATATGTACACACACACACATGTACATAAGTACATAGATGATAGATAGATAGATAGATAGATAGATAGAGAGAGAGAGAGAGAGAGAGTGAGTGCTTGGGTGTATTTTCAATAAAGTATACAAAAATGATAGAAAGTAAGAAAAAGAAAAGTGGAAACAATATCTAATATTTCCACTCTTTTTTCCTGTCAAGTAAGTATCATTGTATTCTTTTTCCTCTTTTCTTCTTTTTAAATTACTAGATCCAGAAATTATCAGTTCAATCTTTTCTTTTCTCAGCAAAAAAAAAACAAAAACAAAAAAAAACAAACAAACTTATAAGGTTTCCCTTTCTTGTTTTCATTTTCCATGACTTAATTAGCAGTGGTTTCTGTTTTACACCACATTTTAATTTAGCTAAAATAAGGCTCACTTTCTCTCTTCCTTACCTTTGCATGACTTTTACTCTGAATATTTCGTTTGTTTGTTAGATTTGTGTGCCTCCCACCTTGTCTAGAGGCGACTCAGGACAGGATACAACAGTGGTCCCCAACCCCCGGTCCGTGGACCGGTGCCGGGCCGTGGAGTACCTGGCACCGGGCCGCGCAGCGGCCGGGGGACATGAACGCTGCAGCGCAAAGGCTCCTGGGCCGTGCGCAATGGGCCATGCGCAAAAGCTCCTGGGCCGTGCCCCCACCCCTGCGCGCGCTCAGCGGGCCGCGGTGATAAAAAGGTTGGGGACCACTGGGATACAACATTAAAAAACCAGTAAACACAGGAAAAGCTTCTTGTTCACTCCTCCTTCTGTCTCCTGAAGTTCTGAAAGGGGAGAATCTCTGCGGATGAGTTTACAGCTCTTGATCAGTAGCCCAAAAACTGAACGGAGGTAAGATTGACCAGAATTGTTCATGAATGGGAGGACTCCTTGTCTTGGCTATTCACAGTGGTGGGATTCAGCCGGTTCGGGTTGGTTTGGGCGAACCAGTAGCTAAATTGCTGGCTGGCCCCGCCCCACCTCTCCCCTCCCCTTCCAGGAGTCCCCACGCGCCCCATTTTGGCTCCCAGGTAAGTGCAGAGAGGCCTACTAGGCCCAAAACGGGGCGCAGGGGTGTGTCCCCCCCCCAGTGGCCTGCTTTTGCTCCCAAGGGGGTACAGGAGGCCAAGTGCTGTTTGTCACACCTCCTGGCCACACCCACCATGGCCACACCCACCCAGCCAGTCATTAGGGCAGCGAACCGGTTGTTAAATTGTTTGAATCCCACCACTGGCTATTCACATAACACTTTGCTTCTGTTCACAGTATGTGAAATGCTTCCGGTAGCGGAAATTTTGAGTAGTTTGGAGAACCAGCAAATATAATCTCGCTGGTATTTCCCCACTGCTTCACACTCGTAAGGTTGCCAGGTGTCCACTATTTGAGCGGACAGTCCGCTTTTTTCACATTATATTCACTATTTTTTTTCACATTTTTTTTATTCAGCAGCTTTATGATGAAATTAAAATGTAATTTAATATTTTACATATTATTATAATATATTTGATGTTTTGAATTTTAAGTAAAGTTTTGAAGTGATTATTTTAATACGTGTTAAAATGTTTGTAAGAAAATATATAATTTAATTGTAAATTTTTTTTTATTTTTTTACTACTTAACCCCCCCTCCCCCCGCTTGTCCACTATTTTTTGGAAGCAGACCTGGCAACCCTATTTGCATCAATTACTTTGTTTTCATGTGACTGTCTAGGGATGAGGAGGAGGAAGAGGAAGAGGAGGAGGAGAAGGAGGAAGAGGAACCAAAAAACCCAACCAATCATTGGCTGTATTAAAAGAAGGATAGAACCAACATGACATGAAGTGCTACTACTGCTTTATAAGGCCTTGGTAAGAATACCACATCCAGTTTTGGTCACCACAATGTAAAAAAAGATGTCGAGACTCTGGAAATAGCGCAGAGATGAGTAACAAAAATGATTAGGGGCCTGGAGGCTAAAACACATGATTAAAACCTTCTTAAATGTGCATTGCACGGTGGCATCTGCCATTCTGACTTGTTTTTGAAATTTGCTTCCATTCCAACGCTGTATATAATAAACCTAGAACTCCACTTAGAAATAAACATTATTGTATTGAGTGTGGCTTGCCCTCAGAAAAGAACTTATAGGATTGCATGTTATAGGTATCCTTATTTAGAACAGAGTTTATCCATGTCAATGTTTTTCAACGTAAGAGGTGTGGACTTCAGCTCCCAGAATTCCCCAGTCAAGATGCTGGTTGGAGAATTCTGGGAGCTTAAGTCCCACATATTTTAAAGTTGATGAAGTTGGGAAACACTGATTTAGAAAGACTAAGTATGCAAGAAGAGTTAATCTTCGCATTGTAAGCCGCCCTGAGTCTCCGGAGAAGGGCGGCATATAAATTAAAGCAATATATATATATATATATATCTACCATAATTACGACGGCAACTACTATATGTTAATCCTTCCTTCCCTCCCTTCATCCCTCCTTCATCCCTCCATCCTATTGCTGCATAATCCTTTACATTCCCTCAGTTCAGGGGTGGGTTCTACTTACCTTTACTACCGGTTTGCAACGGGAGTGCACGCGCACGCTTCTGCACATGTGCAGATCGTCAATTATGACGTCCGGGTGGGTGGGCGGAGCCTCCCTCCGCTTTTACTACCAGTTCTAAAGAACCGGAGAGAGCCGGGAGCAGCTCACCACTGCCTAATTCCTTGATCTTTCAAGAAATATAATCCATCAGAAAGTTAGATTTTCCTCTTTTTCCTCTTGCAACAATAACAGCAATGATCTAAGTTGCAGTCTAAGGTAACTTCTGTTTAGCCAGGCCTGCCCAAAAGTGAGGATGAAGATGGCATCTCTGCTGATTTCAGCTACTCGAGGAAGCCTGAATATAATAATGGATTTTACGTGTCCAGAGGGAAAAAAAACACAAATTCCTTTTTTTTTTTTTTTACATTTTTACAAAAATGCTTATGAGCAGAGTGGTTAGGGGGAGAATGGAAAAAGAGCTAATCAAAGTGTCCGTGTGTCTGTGTGTCAACAACTTCAAATGGCAGCTGCACTCTTATAGTGGTGGTTACCAGTTTAACTTTTTTTAAAAACCCAGCATGGGTGTATCTCTACCTCACGGAGGAGGCTCGGCAATTGCCATTGTTCTTGTCTTTTCTTTTGGCTGAGATAAGCTGCAGTGAAATGACGACTAAAGGGCTTCCACTGTTTTCTAGAGGCAGGAAAAATAACCGTTCTGAAGAACAGCTCTGAAATAAATACAAAAAAACAATAACGAGCAAACCTCTCTGCCAGACACATGGTCTTGGGCATCTGTTCCTAACAGGGGTGGGGTTCAAAAATGTTAGCAAGGGGTTCCCTGCCCGGTTGCTGGGTGGGCGTGGCCATGGTGGGCGTGGCCTAGTCAGCCTCCTGCACCACGGTGGGGGGGGGAGGCGTTTTTGCCCTCCCCGGATTCCGGAAGCTTTCCTTGAGCCTCCAGGAGGGCAAAAACGGCTTCCCCAGGCTCCGGAGGGCCCATTTCCAGCCTTCCCAAACTTCCGGTAGGCCCGTTTTTTACCCTCCCCAAGCCTCCGCATGCTTACCTGCATCCAAAACAGGCCGCGTGGGGACTCCTGGGAGGAGTGGGGTGGGTGGAGCCAGCCAGGAGTGGGATTTGGGGGTTCTCCGAACTGCACAGAATCTTAGCTAGAGGTTCTCCCGAATCCCTGCGAACCCCCAGCAGCCCACCTCTGGTTCTTAACCACAATAACATGAAAATGATGAACGGACATTTCTCATGAAGTCGTGAGGCGTTAGACACTCTCTAATCCAGTGCTCCTCAACCTTGGCAACTTGAAGACATGTGGACTTCAATTCCCAGAATTCCCCAGCTCTCATGAAATTCTAAAACATTGTTCTAAATGTTTAAACCCCCCCCATCATCTCTAGATACATATAAGTCACAAGTCACACACTCTTCAAGACAACACTTGAAAACGTCTAGTCTAGCTAATATTCCTGAGAAAGTAGGCTAAGTATGATTGGTTAATATTTGTTTGCAAATCCAGCTTTTGGCTGCTCTGACTTTTCACCCCAAATCACCTAATTGTTGTCAATCATCTTCTTTTGATATTTCAGACAAGGCACTGGTTCAGTGGTGAAATCCTCCGTGGATTGCCACTGGTTTGCTGTTCGTGCATGCACGGTGCGTGCCAAATGCACACTGCATGCACATTATGCACCAAATGCATGCAGTGCATTTGCGCATTCGCAGTGCGAACCAAATGTGTGCCTCAGGTGGAAAAAGGACGCTTTCTGAGGCAAGTAGAACAGCGAGGGGAGGTACAGCTGGGCCGTGCTATTTAGATTCGCTAGAAAGCAGGATTTCCTGCTTTCTAGCGAATATAAATCACGTGGCACAGCTGATCGTCGGAAATACCAGTTGGGACCAACTGGTAGATTTTTTTTTTTACTACCAGTTCGGCGAACCGGTAGCTTTTATCACTACCGGTTTGCCCAAACCGGTGCGAACCGGTAGGATTTCACCACTGCACTGGTGGCCACATGAGCTTTGAAATGTACAGAAGCCTCTTCTCTTAGAGGTTTTTTTTGTTTTTTTTCATTTTCGTTTAGGACAGAACATCGTATGCAATCTTTGGCCTCTGTTTTAAGAAATGGCAGTCAAGAGTTTCCCTTCTGAAGCCCTTTCTGAAGCAGCAGTGAACAGGCATAAAAACAAAAACAAAAGAAATTTATTTCGAGGGAATGTTTAGAAAAGCGAAACTGCAGGAGAGTAGGGTACTCAGCCTTCAAAAGAAGGATAAAAATAAATCAGATCATCTCAAAAGCCTGGACAAACCAGAAACTTTCTTAAGGCCACAAAGGCTTCAGATTTGGCAGCAAAGAAGCCTACGAGATGTTTTGTCAAATATCATGCGTTGAAGCTTCCAAAACAAAATAACTTGTTGTATACATTTGAATTTGGACCTTGGCCTGCTGTTGGTGGTGAGGCAGGAAGGGACAGACCAGATGGCGGGAACTGGAAAACATGCAGCTTTGGCTGACTGAGAAGACTGGTCTTCATCTGTAGACAATGCTCTGTCTCTTGAAGAACACCGTCCTGTACCTGGTAAAGGTAAAGGTTCCCTTCGCACATATGTGCTAGTCGTTCCCGACTCTAGGGGGTGGTGCTCATCTCTGTTTCAAAGCCGAAGAGCCAGCGCTGTCCGAAAACATCTCCGTGATCATGTGGACGACATGATTCAATGCCAAAGGCACACGGAACGCTGTTACCTTCCCACCAAAGGTGGTCCCTATTTTTCCACTTGCATTTTTTACGTGCTTTCGAGCTGCTACGTTGGCAGAAGCTGGGACAAGTAACGGGAGCTCACCCTATTATGCGACACTAGGGATTCGAACTTTGCTTTGCTTGCGCACTTCTGCACATACGCAGAAGTGTCCTGATGACATTGGGGTTGGTGGGCGGAGCCTCCTGCCGATTTTACTACCGGTTCTTGCGAACCGGTCCGAACCGGGGGCGACCCACCACTGGTTGAAAGTTGTTTAAGTGCTGGTGAACAAGCACCTCCGTCTGTAGGGATGTGTAATGCTCAGCATTATCTGTCTCCCATGAAAGCCAACTGTTAAAGGTGACACTTGTAATAACATAAGCGGATTGTTATTCAGTGCTGGGATCATTCAGGGAGGAATGGACATGACAAATCATCTGACAAATCTGTAAAAATACCTCAGGAGTCTTTTAATAGTCATCCTTGCAAGTCAGTTGGCTATTTACAATATTTCCCAGCAATGGGACATTGAAATTGTAAGACAAATTGAATTCTGTTATATAAACAATTCTGCCTGGACATTTCAAAGAAACACTTCTTACACAGTCATACAATATATAATTTTAAAAAAATCAGAAAAGTTGGTTAATGATCATGTCCATTTGCATCGTTCTTTTTCAGCAAAATGTCAACTCAGAGGCCGGCTTGACTGAGGCCATCTTGGATGCTTCAGGGTTGCCGCAATGGTGCTGAGGGATAGGGAGGGTGGGGGGAGAATAGAGATAGCTGGGGTCTTGTAGCCAAAACAAAATAGTTTCCCTTGAGAACCAAGGACATTTCTCATAGGTGGCTGAAAAGAGGAGGAGTGAAGTTTCCTAGCAACCGGACAGCACCTTGATTGGATCATGTGACTGATTGTTTGGGAAAGAGAGAAAAACTTTTACTTTTAATTAGGTGAAAACTGTGGGAACCTTGAGAGTCGGTTTTCACCGGTCTGTGCCAATATGATATATCCAATAAAACTTGTTCTTTGAGGAACCTGCTTGCCTTGGAGTTCTGTTCGCTATGGGTGTATTACTTGAAACCATTAAACAGTGTTACTTCCTGCGCCCCTCTGCATCTCTGCCATAGATTCATCAATGTGATTACACATCCTGTAAGCAGGGGTGAAATCCAGCAGGTTCTGACAGGTTCTGGAGAACCGGTAGCAGAAATTTTGAGTAGTTTGGAGAACTGGTAGCGGAAATTTTGAGTAGTTTGGCGAACCGGCAAATACACCTCTAGCTGGCCCCAGAGTGGGGTGAGAATGGAGATTTTGCAATATCCTTCCCCCAGGAATGGGGTGGGAATGGAGATTTTGCAGTATCCTTCCTGTGCCACGCCCACCAAGCCACGCCCACCAAGCCACACCACACCCACCAAGCCACACCCATAGAACCGGTAGTAAAAAAATGTGGATTTCACCACTGCCCGTAAGTAGTGCTTGACAGTGTTTGCAGGTTGCCAGAATCACACGGGGGAGGGAGGAGGAAGCCAAGGATGGAATGGGACAACTCGCCATGGTCCACTTGCCATGGCCAGCCACATCACCACGGCCACCTAATCACGGCTACCTCACCACAGCTATGGTCAAATTGCCATGGGGTGTAAAAGAGAGAAAAGCCAGTTGAAAGAAAGGCCTAGTTTTTGCACACTTGAATTTGTCTTCTGAATTAACTTTAAACGGGCCCTTGGGACTACCTCCAGCTATAAAAATATATTCACATCACCTGTGCTTTTCCTCGATTTCAAAATCCTCCCAGCTCATTTACAAACAGCAATTGCTGAGAGGAAAAGAGAAGAGATTGCTCCAGTGGTGGGTTCCTCCCGGTTCCTCCCGGTTCCACTGAGCCGGTAGAGGTGACGATATGATGTCACCAAACCGGTTCTGCCCCCCCGCCCCCCCACGTTATTCTTACCTTTTATTTGGCCCCACCCCCAATCTATTGCTGCCTCCTGAGTCCCAGCTGATCGGCTAAAAAGGAAAAAGCTGTTTAAACTCTTGCCACGGGGCTTCAAAAGGCTGCCCTACAGCTGATCAGTGTTAAAAGGCAGTGTGGTGGTAGACCGGTGCCTCTAAAAACAAATGAGTAGACTGGGGCCTGCAAAAATAAATGGGTAGACCATTGCCTCCAAAAACAAATGAGTAGACCGGTGCCTGCAAAAATAAATGGATAGACCAGTCCCTCCAAAAACAAATGAGTAGACCGGTGCCTGCAAAAATAAATGGGTATACCATTGCCTCCAAAAACAAATGAGTAGACCCGTGCCTGCAAAAATAAATGGGTAGACCAGTGCCTCTAAAAACAAACTTAACGCATTGTAAGCCGCCCTGAGTCTCCGGAGAAGGGCGGCATATAAATCAAAAAAAAAAAAACAAAAAAAAAAAAAAACGAGTAGACCAGTGCCTGCAAAAATAAATGGGTATACCATTGCCTCCAAAAACAAATGAGTAGACCGGTGCCTGCAAAAATAAATGGGTATACCATTGCCTCCAAAAACAAATGAGTAGACCAGTGCCTGCAAAAATAAATGGGTATACCATTGCCTCCAAAAACAAATGAGTAGACCGATGCCTGCAAAAATAAATGGGTAGACCAGTGCCTCCAAAAACAAATGAGTAGACCGGTACAGCTCTGCAAGCAGTTAAAAGCCTGGTAGACCAGTACCTCTGCTAAATCCTAAAGAATTGTCACATGACCATCAAGCCACGCCCACAAAATAAGCCACACCCACAGAACTGGTAGTAAAAAATTATAGAACCCACCCCTGGATTGCTTAGCTCCCTTGCAAGATTTCTCAGAGAGTTTGTCAGGTTCCTCTCCTCGACACAGACAAGGATATGGCTGGGCTGACAACCAAATGACCTACGTAAGTAAAACAAGCCAACGAACCAAAAATAAACGTGCAAATAAATATCCGTTAAAATAGCCACACATGGAATATCCCACACTCTTTTGAAAACTTTTCCACTTTTTTTTTTTAAAAAAAATTCTATTAGATGTGGATTATTTATCATGAAGGCAAACATATACCTGTCCCAGGATAATGTTGCAAGATCCAATCTGGGTCAGTCACCGGGACCAGAGGTTTAATCTGGAAAGTGTTGAGCCATGAGCCGCGGTGGCGCAGTGGTTAGAGTGCAGTACTGCAGGCTACTTCTGCTGATCACTGGCTGCCAGAAGTTTGGCAGTTCAAATCTCACCAGGCTCAAGGTTGACTCAGCCTTCCATCCTTCCAAGGTCGATAAAATGAGGACCCAGATTGTTTGGGGGAAGAGGCTGACTTTCTAAACCACTTAGAGAGGCAGGGGTGAAATCCAATAGTTTCTGACAGGTTCTGGAGAACTGGTAGCGGAAATTTTGAGTAGTTCTGAGAACTGGCAAATACCACCTCTGGCTGGCCTCGGAGTGGGGTGGAAATGGAGATTTTGCAGTATCCTTCCCCCGGAGTGGGTAGGGAATGGAGATTTTGCAGTATCCTTCCCCCAGAGTGGGGTGGGAATGGAGATTTTGCAGTATCCTTCCCCCAGAGTAGGGTAGAAATGGAGTTTTTGTAATATCCTTCCCCCAGGAGTGGGGAGGGAATGGAGATTTTGCAGTATCCTTCCCCCGGAGTGGGGTGGGAATGGAGATTTTGCAATATCCTTCCCCCAGGAGTGTGGAGGGAATGAGATTTTGCAGTATCTTTCCCCTGGAGTGGAGTGGGAATGGAGATTTTGCAGTATCCTTCCCCTAGGAGTGGGGAGGAAATGGGGATTTTTCAGTATCCTTCCTCTGGAGTGGGGAGGGAATGGAGATTTTGCAGTATCTTTCCCCCAGAGTGGAGAGAGAATGGGGATTTTTCAGTATCCTTCCTCTGGAGTGGGGAGGGAATGGAGATTTTGCAGTATCTTTCCCCCAGAGTGGAGAGAGAATGGAGATTTTGCAGTATCCTTCTGCTGTCACGCCCACCAAACCACACCCACAGAACCAGTAGTTAAAAAAAAATGGATTTCACCACTGTAGAGAGGGATGCAAAAGCACTATTAAGCTGTACGTATATAAGTCTAAGTGCTATTGCTATTCCGATAGATAGAATTTCCCTGAGGATGGGCACCATCACGAGTCCGCAAGCTCAGAAGACTAAACCTTTGGTCCCAGCGATTGACCCAGATTGGATCCTGCAAACATTATTTATCAGGTTGCTTGTTAACAGATAGCATATGTTTTTTTTTTTTTTAAAAAATATCTTTATAATGGGGAAATAGAAGATGGATATTCATTTCTCTTGGTTGCATCAGTTTGTTGCTATTGTTTTTTTTTAAACTTATTAATTTGCGCATTAACGGAAAAGGAAGTATATATACAGTATGTCTATTAAACGTGAAGAAACAATTCTCGCAATTACGGAAGGGAGGAAAGGGCATCTTTCTAAAGATTAAAGATTTCTACAAGTTCTTTCCTTGCCTTTGATGATTTTGTGTGTGTGTGTATTTGTGTGTGCGTATGTGTTTGCTAGAACCAAGTATGGTTCTTAATCCTACAAATACTTCAATTCATATTATGGAAGCAAGAACCTGTTGAGGACTTCAGGAAACCTATTAATTAACCCATGTGGTAATTTTATCAAAGTTACTTTCTATTCGGAATAAAAGGTGTCAGTCGGAATCTTTGAGCTAAGGCAATAGGCACCTCATTTGAGTTCAACCCTATAACCAGGGATGGGCTGCTGGGGGTTCGGGAGAATCTATAGTTAAGATTCTCTGTAGTTCGGAGAACCCCCAAATCCCACTCCTGACTGGCCCCGCCAACCCCTCCCCTCCCAGGAATCCCCACGCGGCCTGTTTTGGATGCAGGTAAGCATGCAGAGGCTTGGGAAGGGCGAAAAACGGGCCTACTGGAAATTCAGGAAGGTCGAAAATGGGCCTTCAGAGGGCCTCTGGAGCCTGGGGAGGCCGTTTTCGACCTACCGGAGGCTCGAGGAAACCTTCCGGAGCCTGGGGAGGGCAAAAATGCCTCCCCGCCATGGTGCAGGAGGTCGAGTAGGCCACACCCACCATAGTCACACTCACCTAGTAACCAGGCAGAGAAACCCTTGCTAAAATTTTTGAAGCCCACCCCTGCTTATAACGCACATATCAACATGAATCGGATGGCGGTTTCCTTCGTACAAGTAGCATCCAGATGCAGAGATGGTCCCTCAGAGGTTTCCCTGTCTAAGAATTCATGCTTGGACAAGAACCAATCGAGTCTTATAGCTGGGAGAAAACCTTTGCTCTTCCTCACAATTCTTCTCCAACATGTTGGTTGTATCTCATGATGCATGAAGCGAAGAAAGGAACATGGCTTAAGCTGAATGGTAGTTTCCTTCTCAGTCTTCTTCACCGTGCCATTTGGAACTCAACATCAACTTTGGTAACGTATGAAGTGGGAAAAGGAAGCAACATCTTCTGGTTGAGAAGCTGACATGGGCTGCCATCACTTGGAGGAAGAGGAAGCCGGAACCAGTGACTGCTTCCCAAGCTGACTCTGAAGAGCATCCAAGATGTCACGTAATTTTTGGTCAATCTGGGTGACCTGTTGGGAAACCGGAAGGTAACATAGTCTGTTACTTTGCTCACTGAGGCATGTGTCAATCATGCTTCGAACCAGGAATTGATTCCATTGTTAAATCTGCCAGAAACTTGTTTTATGGCTGGGGGTGGGGAATCATGGCCCCCACCCCCTGCCATAAAAGGGCCATGGACTCCACAGCCCTTTTATGACTATGCGGACTTCAACTCCCAGAATTCCCGAGTCAGCCATGCTGGCTGGCTGGCTCAGGAATTCTGGGAGTTGAAGTCCGCAAGTCACGAAAGGGCCTGCTTCCCCACTCTTGTTTTATGGATTTCAAACAAGAAATAACAGCAAACTGGATCCCATTTCTACCCACCTAACAAAATGACTTCTTCACTGAGCTTTTGGATGGTGATTGCTTCAACGCAAGAGCCGAGGTGGCACAGTGGTTAGAGTGCAGTACTGCAGCTACTTCAGCTGACTTGCTAGTTCAGTAGATCAGCGGATCAAATCTCACCGGCTCAAGGTTGACTCAGCCTTCCATCCTTCCGAGGTGGGTAAAATGAGGAGCCAGATTGTTAGGGGGGTAATATGCTATTTAGTATACTGTCTTTGGTGTAAGCCGCCCAGAGTCCTCGGAGAGTGGGCGGCATAGAAATATGACTAATAAAATGAATAAAATAAATAAACACAATCAGTCCATTAAAAATCAGATGATTATTCTGGTAAAAAAATGGGTGAACCACAGAAATATTTTCAGTATTATACCTGGGAGGGCGACGGTAATTCCTCTTACAGATCCAGTCAGATGAACATTTCAACGAGGTGTAATCCCATTGAAACAATAGGAAATACTATTCGTATTTTCTGACACGGAGCATTAGGCATTAATGGTCACATTGGAAAAAGCCCCCCCCCCTGCCTCCTCCTCATGTATTTTCTGGCATTATCAAAGGCCATGATAAAACCTGGTATTTTTAAGGAGTTTGGGGGGGGGGTTTCCCCCTGCAAAGGAGTAAAATGAAAATGCTGCCAAAAAAGGGTTTACTTTGGCATGAAACCAGGGACATTTATGGGAGGGGGGTTCAAAAAATGACAAGATGGTATCTATGATTGAGCAGTTGAAGTCCTACACATTTTTAACACAGTCCCTGCCTTTGCTGAGACCTCTGCATACAACTTTAAGAATCTAACCGGTATTTATAATTTAATATCTGGCACTGGTAAGTCAGCATTTCAGAATCAGAATAGAGCTCGAAGGGACCTTGGAGGTCTTCTAGTCCAGCCCCCTGCTCAAACAGGGGGCCCCATACCATTTTAGACAAGTGGATTGTTCAGTCTTTTCTTAAAAGATCCCAGTGAGGAAGCGCCCTTAACTTAAAACCAAAATTAGGAGCCGAACTTCCATTACAAAGCAAGGCGCATATTCCCAGAAGACTGTTGAGGCAAAGATCTTTGACTTAGAATTCATTTGAATGGCTGAATTTCTTTGGCAGTGTTTTTCAACTTCAGTCACTTGAAGATGCGCGGACGTCAACTCCCAGAATTCCCCAGCTGGCTGGGGAATTCTGGGAGTTGACGTCCGCGCATCTTCAAATGGCCGAAGTTGAGAAACACTGATTAGAGAGTCATTTTCAACTAAATGAACACTCCAGCAGTTTAATGTGGGCAGTGGCGGGATTCAGATTTTTTTACTACTGCTTCTGTGGCTGTGGCTTGGTGGGCGTGGCCAGGAGGTGTGACAGGCAGCACTCGGCCTCCTGCACCCCCTGGGAGCACAAAGGGGCTGCGGGCGGGGTGCCATGCCGTCCCCCCGCATCCCATTTTGGGCCTAGGAGGCCTCCCTGCACCTCCCGGGGAGCCAAAATGGGATGTGTGGGGAATTCTGGAAGGGGCAGGGCAGGAAGGGGTGGGGCCAGCCAGCAATTTAATTATCGGTTTGGCCAAACCGGCTGAATCCCACCACTGAATGTGGGTGAAGAAAGAAGAAAGATGAGTGGAACAACTAAAGTCACATAATAAACCCTCTTTCTTGGAGATAACAACCGCAATCAAAATGGCTCCCTTTTCCAGCTTTTTTTTTTTGTTTCAAAAAAACCAAGTGGCATGCATACGTTGGTTGTAAATCTTGCCAAATCCACGACGGTCTTCATTATTAATCGTCGACTCGCTACAATATTGGCTTGGTTTCCCTTCCTAATAAGCTTAGCATCATGTCTATTTGGCCCTTAACAAGAGGCTTTGAGAATAATCGTGCCAGCAGTACGAAGAGATTCGTGGAATTATGCTTGATATCCTTGAACCAGGGATCAGCAACCTGTGGCTCTGGAGCCGCATGTGGCTCTTTCATCCCTCTGCTGTGGCTCCCTGTTGCTGATCGATTCCACAATTGATAGGGCTTTCAATTAGGACAGGTAGAGGAAAAAGGGCGCCGGGCTAGGAGGAGACTCTATGGTGGGGGAACCGGACTTCCGGTCGGCTCCAGAATTGAACGGGGGCTTCCGGTTAGGACCTTTGTGGCTCTTTGAGTGTTTAAGGTTGCCGACCCCTGGGTTAAACTTACTGCAGCAAAATGTTGTTTATTACCAGCAGCAAAATGTTGCATTACAACCAATTGCAGGTAATCCTCAACTTATAACCAATTTACAACGGTTTTGTGACCGAAGTTACAACATCACTGAAAAAAGGGTCATTTTTCACACTTTCGACTGTTGTATCATCCCCGTGGTTACGTGATCCAAATTCAGAGTATTGGGAAACTGGTTTATATTTATGACCGTTGCAGTGTCCCCAGGGTCGTGTGATCACCTTTTGTGACCTTCTGACCAGCAAAGAAAATGGGGAAGCCAGATTCGCTCAACGGCTGTGATTCGCTTAAAAACGGTGGCAGGAAAGATCATAAAATGCGGCAAAAATTATTTAACAACTGTCTCACATAGCGACAGAAATATTGAACCCGATTGTAGTCATAAGTCGTGGACTACAGGTAGTCCTCGACTTACAAGTTCATTTAGTGACCATTCAAAGTTACAACGGCCCTGGAAAAGTGACCTATGATCATTTTTCACACTTACGACCATTGCATAATTCAAGCGCATAATTCAAGATGCTTGGCAAATGGTTCGTACTTATGACCGTTGCGGCTGCCCAAGGTCACGCAATCCCCTTTTGACAAGCAAAATCAACAGGGAGGAAGCCAGATTCACTTAACGACCACATTACCAGCTTATCAACTGCAATGACGCCCTTAACAACGGTGGCTAGGAAGGTCGTAAAATGGGGCAAAACTCGCTGTCTCACTTAGCAACAGAAATTTTGGACTCAATTGTGGTCATAAATCGAGGACTACCTGTTATGCGCTTTTGATCAAGGTTTCAATAGCTGTTTTGGGTTTTTTTTTCCTCTTTTCTTTCCAGCATAGTGACGGGAAAAAATACGACCATTTCATCTTCTGCATTCATTGTCTTCTTTCCGTCCTCCACTTCAGCTATGTTTGTCAGCTGCGTTCCACTTGTAACCATTGCTTCTCTTCTTCCTTCTGCTGCCTGGGGCAGGAGCCCTCGTGTGAGAACCCGGAGGCCTCGCCAATCCTGGGCAGAGGTCAAGGCAGGGACCCCAGAGGCCTCTTTTCTTGACATGGCCATGGTCTCTGGGTTGTTCGATGCTTACACAGCTGTGAGGGCAGTGAGAATTTCAAGCAGGGAGACCCAAGGCTGAGATTTGACATCTCAAGGAATTTTAATTCAGTTTCTATAAGTTTTTTTTTTTTTTTAAGGAAAGCCTTTGCAAATATCAATTGTGGCGTGATATCTAGGCAGGTCCTAGAGCTGTGATGGCGAACCAATGGCACGTGTGCCACAGCTGGCACACGGAGCCCTTTCTGTGGGCACAAAAGTCATCGCCCAGCTCAGCTCCACCGTGCATGCGCGAATGCCTCCTGCCGGCCAGCTGATTTTCGGGGGGTGCGGGGTGCATGCGGGAGATGCGTGCGTATGCGCAGGGTCACATGTGCAGGAACTGGGGGTCGTGCGTGCATATGCATGGAGTGGAGGAGCACAGGGGGGGTACAGCGTGCCTCCCCACAGCCCATTTTTGGGCCCAGGAGGCTGCAGGGAGGCCTACTAGGCCCAAAATGGGGGGGCAGGGGATCGTGCGTGTATGTGCGGGGGTGGAGGGAGCATGGAGGGTCATGTGCACGCGTGTGGGGGTGGGTGGGAAGAGCGTGGGGGCATGCTCGCATGCGCAAGAGGGGGGCACATTGCGTTATGTGTGCCGCATGAGCGTGCGTTTTGGCACACGACGAAAAAAGCAGGGGTAGGTTTCACTTACCTTTGCTACTGGTTTGCTCGCGCGTGCGCCATTTCTGCTCATGCGCAGAGCATATTGGATGATGTCCGGATGGGTAGGCGGAGCTTCCCGCCACCGCTGCTACCGATTCGCCCAAACCGGGGCGAACCGGTAGCAACCCACCCCTGGAGAAAAGGTTAGCCATCACTGTCCTAGAGCCTGGAATAAATGCTTCCTATACAAACCCTTCAACTTTCCATCTTGATCTTTTACTCAGCGAAAAGTTTTCTGAGGGAGGAAGTGGCAATTCTCGGTGTAGAAAGAATAGTCATCAGGTGATCTGGTCATTCCCACCACCACCCCGAACCGTAGCACTTAAAAATTTCCATTTTTTCTGTAAACTCAGCATCGAGAAAGGCCAGTTAAATGTCAACATGCTTTATCAATCAATACACAGTATGTTTCTTCTGTTTTCTAGGTAAAGTGGAAAAAGAGCAAACCCTAAAAATAATTTCCACAGAGCTTGTAACAGCTATCTTTTCAGAAGAAAAAAAGAAAAGTAGGAACCGGAATATGTGGAATAGTGGAAAAGTGGAATATGTTTCAGTAACAGGATGAGGTGGACACCTGAAGCCATGTGAAAAAGACGAGAAAAGGCAATTAGATAGATAGAATTGCCAAGGCTCTCCAAACTTGGCAATTTTAAGACTTGTGGACTTCAACTCCCAGAATTC